AAGAGAATAAGGATGATGAGTTCAAATATTCACTTCATAACTGATATTGGAGGGATCTAAATAACTTTACAAATGGAGAGGAAGTAGAGAATTGAGACCTTTATGTTTTACCACCTTTTTGTTTGGTCAGTCTAATTCAGGCAAGTAGGAAGTACCACCAAAGTGCAGCTCTAATGGTTATTGACAATCCATAAAGACAATTTATATTCATCTGCGATGACTAGTTTTGAATAAAGCAGACTTACGTTACAGGTTCAACTTCCATAATTGCCAATGTTAGCAGGAAATTGAAATATTATTGTTTGTGTGTTTGTGGAAGAAGGGTAGAAAGGAACAGTGTACTAGTACAAAATATGTCCACCATAGGAAAAGGTTCCTGAACATAAAAGAGTTTAAACCAAAGCAAGTCTCATAATAAGCTACCTCTTGAATTTTGCGAAGCCATGCATTTCATACCTTGCTTAATAAAATGGGAAAGCGAGATTCTAGATCAGACAAATGAGAGCCGCCTCCATATATCGCCCCTGCTGCAACATATATTGGAGTATTTGATGGATATCCAAGAGAAGAAAGAAAGATTCCAACCTCCTTTGGGGTCAATGGACAATACCCTTTGGCCCTTTGTTCTTGGGGATCAATTTCTTTAACCTTCCAATATGAAATGTTCTCTCTGAAGAAAGAAGAAACATGTTTAATTAATAAAACAAACATTCGACTTCTACCCAGAATCCAGAACTGGTGTTTTGTAAAATACCTAATTCTTGCCAATTCATCAGATTCAACCGAAGACAAGCCATACGTGCACCCACTAAAAGCAAGCATGTCCTTTTCATAACGCAAGTGCAAAGCAATATATCGACCGTAAGACCTCATTCTCTCCACCAATAACTACAGATTAAGAAGAAGAAAAAATCATGGTTGTAGGACAAAAATTAATTAGCAGCAAACAGATAGTATAAAAGACATACTTTTCCTAGTGCCTCAATCCGTGGAGCAAATCTGAGAGCCTCATAAAAAGTACGGCAACGAAGTTTTTGAATGTCAGGAGGAAGGTTATTGTTTGCAAGACGTGAATCTGACTTGGCAGCTTTGATAACCTGCCAAGAGAAGATCTAGATTAGAAATATTATCACTAATGACTATTGTATATTAGTAGAAGGATACAAGATGAACTTCAAGATACCAGCAAATATACCTGATATTTATCCCACACGTGTGATATCTCATCTTGATAGTAATCTAGTCCTGACCAGCTTCGAAAATGTATTACTGCTTTTGCAGCTGTCATCAGTTCTTTTGGTAGTTTCTTTACAACTTCGACATCATCGGCCAAGGTGTGGATGAAATGTTCTTCATCAAAAACGTCAGAGAAATTGCTGGCACATAAACATGAAAAGCATCAGAGGCACCTAAGCATATGCAAATTCACCTATATGAACTGGATTAAATAGCAGTACTTTATCACTGTATTAGAAACATAACAAAGACTAGTTTGGAACCTACCACATGACGGTGACTTCTAGTTATATGCTTATAATAGCTTTAGGAACATGTATGAGAGACAGTTCTTAGCACAAACACATGTGGATGATTTTTACCAACAACATCTATGTAATTCAAGTGCTTCTACTACATAATAAAAAACAAACAAGAAAAAACTCGTACCTAGAATCTTGCCAAAACGATCTTTTATCAAGTTGAGGAATAACAAGTGTGGCATTAATCAATCGTGCAACGGCTACCATGTCACATATCTGCCATTCATAATGACAATACTCATGAGGTTTCAACCAGTAATATATTAAATAAATAAAAACCATAAAGGATAGACATCATAAGTTTTACACGATGCAAAATAGCTTTCTGTAAATACAACAGGTAGCTGTGTAAGCTATAGATAATATTATTAATTAAGGAATAGGATACACAACCAAGAATCTCATTTGATGCATTTGAAAAAGAAAGAAGTGGCAAACAAAATTAACTAAAGGTCCATCAATCATGACCTGATTGCCTGTAAAACATCAGTAACAAATTTAGCACAAAAACTTACTATGTTCAATCAAATTATTTAGAGGCCGTAAAAAAAAAACGTAGCCAACATGGAGGTAATGGTATCGATGACATGAATGAAGGTACACATATCAGTTTCTGGGTTAGTTGATGTAATTGGGATACGGAACCAGAACTCATAGTTTATTAGATGGGTTGGAATAGATTTGAGATCTGCTGGAAAGTGGGCACTAGGAAAGATCACTGGTAGCATGGGAAATCGGTTGGGCTACTTGGATTTGCCAGAGACTATCACCAAGTTAGGTCAATTCATCAATCTTTTGGAGAAAGGTTTGGGTAATAGCATAGTTAGGTAACAAAGCATCAAAAATTAGCAAGAAAGAAGACTGTCTTAGAAGCACTAGACATCCTAATGAATGAAAAAGAGTTTCCTTGACTTTGATAATTACTAATATGGAATTGGAAAATAATACGATGATTTCTTTCTCCTTGCAAATTACTTACCGTTCCCATTCCCAATTGTCCCATAATCTAACTTATGAGCATATACTCTTCTATCTACAGACCTGACTTAAGCATTCTCCAGGATACGTTTTTTAGTTTCCAAAACTCAAAGTACCAGAGTCTTCAGCTAAATTCTTTACTCGACAATGAAACATACATGCTAAGTTCTCCCGTTCATACTAGTTTGAAACTTGACATTGGAAATGCAGCAAGCAAACAGGTTTAGGCCCGTGCAACTACGTATTCAATATACTTTTACCAAGATGTAGGGCAAGTACTAGATTGACATCAATATCTTTTTCATGCTGCTACATTTTTCTAATAAGGTTTGTGTGGGTGTACTCCGCTGCTTTCTCATAACTTGTTTGTAGACAATGAGGGGTTACAACATAAAAGAACGGTCGAGAGAGAGAGAGAGCAACCACTGCATACCCCAGCTCGCATTTGGTTTAACCCACCATTGGCATGAACTAGCAAGTAGCCCCTCGATTGAGAAGGAGCTGAAAAATATCAAATTGAATAAAATGTTAGTGGATCACATGAAGTAAAGCAGGAAAAAAATACAGTACAAAAACCAAAAGATCGACATAATCCTATCGTGCTCCCTTACGCAGAAAAGATGAACTGGGAGCGACACAGGGCACAAAATTACGATTTGCCGGAGGCTTCCACAACTTCGCGAACCAAGAATCTAACATCGTGATGCCCACCTGCAAAGTATAGAGAGAGTGAAACCAATTAGAGGAACCAAAAACACCTTCTTGACCATAAATGACCCATTATACACCAAAAAACGAAAACTCAAAAAGGGATACAAGAGCATAACAATTTGCCAAATGCAACAACAACAACAACAGCTGTAACCCATCAATAACTAAAGCAACATTCCGTGACATGTAGTACAAGATTACCTTCTGAGTGGAAATCCGAAGCTTGGCGAGTTGGGGAGGCGCGATTTCCTGGGTCCAGCCGAGCTCGTTAGCCTTTCGCCGGTATCCAATCTCACGTTGCTAAACATCACCACCACCACCACAAAATCGGGTCATATCATAGATGTGGGCAAAGGATCATAAATCCAAGTCCTAAAAATTGGATCTTTTTCCGCTTTTGCGTATCAAAATATTCAGTCATTGATTAAAGAATACATAAATATACGCCTACATAACCGGTGTAGGCGGCCAAATGTCACAGAACAGAATCAAGAAATCGTCACCTAATCTCCTTTCAAGAATCAAGAAAGCCAGAAATGTGGGAATGTTTAGGTTTGGAGCAACGTAAAGAAGCTTCCTTTGAGGAGGGGAAACCAAAAGAAAAAGAATAGAGGAGGAGGAGATGCCTTGGGGAGCTTGAAGGCGTCGGGGACGGCGGCGGAGGGGAGGAGGAACACGTGGACGGCCACCAGCGCACCGACAGCGACAGCTCCGATGGCGCACGTTAGCGCCCACCGCAGCGTCGAGATGCCGGCCGGCGTCGACCTGCGCCGCTGCATCCTCTCCCTTTCACGCGCTTTGTCTCTACGCCACCGACTATCTGTAAAGCGAAAGGAAGGAGGCAGAGGAAGAAGCAAACGGAGGAAGGAAGCAGACCGCAGGAAAGCAACGAGGAGAATGAATGTGAATGAATGGGAGAGTGTGAATGGGAGGTGACAAGAAAGGCTTTCCAACTGTCCCCGTTCAATGGCAGCACCGCTACACTTCTCTTCCCACAGTGCCCCTCCACAGACACATTCTTGTTCCCATAGTAGCCTAGTACTGTTCGCCAAGATCGCCACCTTCAACGCAGTCAGAAGAATACGAAGGCATCATTTCCTTCCACAGAATTCCGAAGCTTTAAATTCCACATTTATTGTATATATATTAGCCATCAAAACGGCTCTGCAATTTCCTTCTATTTCTTTTCTATCTTTGCGTTCACTTTTTCCCTTTGTTTGGTCTTTCTTTCTCCTGCAATGATATCATTACACTGTCTTCTTAATAATTGCATTCCTATGTACACTTGCATTGTCTAGAAGTAATCTTAAATTCCTTGAAACGTGATCACTGAAAAGAGTTCTCTGCAGCACCACAAGTCTAATTCTTCTCCATTCTTAATGTCTCTTTGTCCCCTTCTTTTCCCTCGGTCATTTACTTTGGCTTTCTTTATGTACAGAGTATGAGAAAGCGTGCTCTTCTATAGAAGAGATGGACGAGAATGGCCAGACGTTGAGGTAGATCTAAGCATAAAGGACAACATCAAAGCATTTAGCGTTGGTTTAACTGATTAAACTAATTAAGAAAGATTTTGAGGGACATTAATAGAAGATCTCCTGGTAATCCGGCTGATAACATTTGATCTGCTTCCTTGTTATCTGTAATGTTCGATTGGTGCATGTGGCCTTCGTGTGCAAGCAGCATCCTCATCTCTTGAAATGGAAATTAGCTCAACAGGTTAGCTCTTCTTCTTGCTCCTGGGCAAGTTTTGACTACTGTAAGTTGGTGTATACACTGAGATGTGTGGTTCTAAGTGCAGAATAGAATAAGACTACTCTGCCATGAATAGATAGATCATAGAGAGTAGACTTAGGTAGACTGAGCTATCATGGCCACATTCATTCAATTCGGTCACAAATGGTCAAGAATCTATGACCTACAGCTAGCAAATGCTGACTTCTTCATCCTTTGCATGTCCTTCTCAGTCCAAGGTTTGCTCAAATTTCTTCCGGAAATTAATGCTCCATTCCAGGGTGACAATGAGCAAAGTGCTGCCTTTTCCTCTTTGCTTGTTTTCTCCGAGGAATTTTGCTGTGGTTACTGAAGAACAAATATATTTTGGTCTTACTTTACAAGCAGAAAGGTGAGAATTACATCTGTTTTGATCGATTTACGATGGCCATTCTAACACTAATGCTTGTTCAAGGTGTACTTGTAAGATCAAGAGTGTTTTGGTGGAATTTATTTTGGTCCCATTTAACTGGTTGTTGCAAGTGTCCATCAGTACCTCATCTTCAAGAATTATAGATGTGTCTTTTCTCTGCCACGATTGTAGTTATAACTGGTTATGTCGAGAACTTTCTCACACGTAAAACTCGTCTATCATCCTCGTCATTGTCACAGCACGTATCATCATCCATCTCACCACAACTTAAAGCTGTAATCTACCTTTAGATGCAGCTCAAGGGATCCATTAAAAGAGAGAGAAAAGAAGGTAATAATGGGATGTTATTCCTTGCATTCTCCTGCGCCACTCTCGTGACGTCCCATTCCAAGTTGCACAAGCGATTGCCCTCTTCATGTGACACGGGCAATTAAACAGAGAGAGAGAGAGAGAGAGAGGAGCAGAGGTCATGGGAGAACAGCTGTGTCTCATGCTGCTGCTTCCGCTACTGTGCTGTGCCCAACTGAGGGTCCTCAGCACCGTCCGAGATTTCCATCGTATTTGTCGCTTTGTACCTCTCTCTCTCTCTCTCTCCCCATGACGGGATACCGAGGGAAAGAGACGGGAGTGGCTCAGCTTTTTGTTCTCAGAAGAGAACACGAAGTCTCAGCTTTTTGTACTCGGAAGAGAACACGTAGTCAACCTCACTCTTGCTGTAACCAACCTGCGACGTTCCATCTGAAATTATCATTGTCTAAATCTTTCTAATTGATCTAATGGCAATGAGACATGGAAAATGAGCCACAAATTCTCAAAGTTTATCCTCACCAAATACTCTATGATTTTATTCTCTTTATCTTGGAAGACCAAAGATGATATAGCCGACACTGAACAGTTTTAACATCACAGATCGTTACTGTTCATGTTCTGACCTAAATCTATGTAAATGCGATCATCATCATCATGTAGGTGTGACAATTAATGAAGCCTTTTGATGTGGCACACCACCAACACACGGCGGGATGAGACCCACCGCAGGTTTGTCGATGAAACAGCTACGTGAAATCCAAGAATAAGATATTCTACAGCTCACTTAGATTGGCCTCCCTGCAATCAACCTATTCGACATAAACTAAGTTCAGCGCTGTAAAGGGTAAGAACAATGGAACCTGTGTTTTCTTGTCTCATCACGTCCTCGTTCGATGGGTGGGTGCATGCACGCACACATGCGGTGCATTCAGTCTCCGATACAGGAAATCTCCGAGCCTTCATTGCTGCTGGAGGTATCGGTGGGCTGCACACAGTTTTTTCGGAGTTTGTCTGACAACAAGAGAGCAAGAAATTATTTCTTGAACCTTACAAGGAAAAAAAGGTTACAAAATCCTTTCTTTTGAAAATGTTCTTCGAACAGACAAAAAATATATATCACTGCATCATTTTTATTTTTCCCATATCTCTTAAATTAATATTTTACTCTTCTGGTGAAGACCCCCTCAATAGGAAATCTGAGAGATGCAGTTGAAACATAAATATGAGAACATGGTGGGCCTCATTTGACACTAAATTTGACTTCTCCTGATGAAAGGCCCATTACAGGCCCACCACCATCCTTGATAGTCTTCTTGTGGATCATCTCAGTGGCTCTGCTGCATGGAAAACCCTTTCTTTGTTTTGTAGCTTGCTCTGATTTCAACCTCAGTCAGTGTTCTTCCACACAGACCTTGAAGCTGCTTAGCCAGGTTCTGATGCATCACCTATACCAATATTCGATGTGGCTTAGATGTATAGAACTTGTGCTTCATCCTAATTTCTGAAACTATATATGTATTCGTGAAAAATGTTGATATGCCAATCATCTTCTTGCAAATTTTCTTATATTCTGTGTTATCTTTTATATGACACATTTAAACTTAGTCGCACATCTGAATTGGCTAAAGACTGGATTAGGTGTACTATCATTAAGGTTCAGACTTAAATATTTTGATTTATTACGATACAACTTGATTGGGTAATTAATCCATCTGAATATCGTACATCTATAAAATTCTTATAGATAGACTTAAATATTTTTATTATATTTAAAATTAAAATTATTAACTTACTAAATAAAATAATAGAATTTATATTGTATATATTGTTTTTGACACCTATACATAGTTATAGTCTCTAGCCAAAAGAATATACAAACATAACCTGTCCAAAATTTATATACACAAAATGCTCATAGGTCATCGTTCGTATCCATGCTATCATAGGCTTGTACGTGCTCACTTCCCTACCCAATCACTTATGTGAGTTACTAGTATCTAAAATAAGATTTATAGTGAAAAGTTACTCAAAAATTATAAACATTTATAGTTTTATTTAGATGAGCATGTATCATGTCATTTATATAATATTTCAAAATCATTAGTATAAGACATTTAATGATAGATATCTCATCCTATAAGTTCTTTAGTAAGCATAGTTTTGCAACATAGTATATGTGCAATAAGGAAATAAAATTATACATTGGAATAATTCAAATGCTTATATGAACACCCATACCCTACATCATAGAAAACACATACACTCTCGTATCGCACATCATCATATATGCATGCATACAAGATATTTTTATTATAATTTATTTTTTTTTATATTTATAAAATATATACATTCCCATTTAACTTATGACTAGCTCATGACAATCATATTAGTTCAAACATACTTTCCAAAATATCTTATGCATACAATAATTTATACGATCATTATTTTACATTATATATGCTCATAAATTCTATCTCTAACTACTTTTGATCTATATAAAACTTTATGAGACTTTTTTTTTCTATTGTTTGTCATCTCACAATTCTTATGGTTTAATGTCAGTCATTTCAATATTGATGAAAATTATCTGTGCATTGAATACATGTGTATTGTCATACATGCGAGGAATGAAGTTGTTTACCATCTCACAATTTCATTTGAGGACAAAATGAAGTTGAATATATGTGCGTTGTCATTACATGCGAGAAAATCATTATTTGAGTTGAATTTTTTTTTTAATTTTTATTGTTTCGGAAAATGAAACTGTATGCTAAACACATACCTTTCTCCCACTCTCAAGACTTTTCCTCCACATAAATAATACAAACTGCTGGACATTTTTATAAATTTTGATGAATAAAGGGGGATTATAAGCCAAACATTAAATATTATTTACATGTATATAATATACAAAAATTAAGAGAAGAGAGGGAAATGGGTTGAATCTTTTGGAAAGAGAGACAAGAATTTCAAAAATCATAATAAAACAATAATCAAAGACATATCAAAGATTAATATGGTCCAACAAATTTCTACTTGAGAAAATAAAATTCTATGAGATGTAAGATCAATTATAAGGTCTTGAGTTATCTCCACTCAAGTATAATTTTTTTATATATATACCTTGTCATATATTCTCAAAGAATTTATACATTTTCTCACACTCTCCTTAGAAACCCTAGAGAGTAACATCTTTAAATACCATAAAAAGAAACTCATGAGTACCAAAAATATTTCTTATATTTTGTTCTTCGTGTATCAAAATCTAAAGATACATAAAATATTTATAGAAGAATTAAATCCTAATTACTCGAGTTTCCTTCATTTACGAAATCTCTTTCTTATACTTAGATTCCTTATCCCATGGGACACTAGCTCCAGAAATCTCAAATACTTGTTAATTATAATTATCTCTTCTTCGGTAACTATTCTATCTATTCCGTACCTCCTAAAAAGAAAATATTTTTACTTCATGCTCCTTTCGATCTTTGTCGTTTATTTTTATTGAATCTCTAACCACCCAGTCTTTTGGGCTCTAATACCATTTATTAGAGAGGGAGAGCAGAATTTCAAAAACTAAAAGAAAACTTAAAGATCAATAATCAAAAGTATACTGAAAAGTTAATATAAGATTAACATGGTTCGATAAATCTTTCCCTATATCCATATAGAAAATTAAAATTTTCACCATGGGAGATCAATTATAAAGCCTTGAGTTATTCTCACTTAAGCACAAATTTTCTTGCACATCCTCTCACAAAAACCCT